TAGTACCTATAATAATATTATTTTTGTGATCGAAGGCTAGACCGGTGATTTTGAAACCTAATTGTCCTATTTTAACAGGTAGAATGCTTTTAGTAAATAGTCTGAACAAGGAACCTTTGACAGCTACAATAGCTTCATCGTTGTTGTTCAATTGCAGAATATATTTTAGTTCTCTAGTGAAACCTTTATATTGAATTGGTTCATACAAATCCATGGAGAAGAAATATAATCTGCCGTCAATATATTCGTAGAAAGCATTGCCTTTACTATCCAGAATGAAGCTGTATGCTTTTGGAATCTTATCGTATCGTTTCACAGCAGCTGAACCGTTCATGAAACGAATATTTCGTGGTTTGATCCTGTTGCTATATACATCTGGTTATCCGTCTTATCTATAAAGATGCTTCGTACATCATCGTCTCCAATCGGCCTTTCTGCAGTAATTTCTGTTCTTGAATAATCATACGTGACTAGGCCTTGATTGGTGCCAATATAAATAATATTATTGGTAGTATCTATAGCCACACATTGTCCAAGTAACTCGTCAGAAACTGGCAGTTCTTTGATACCTAAGGAGCCATGTTTTAGTACATGTATTCCTTTGGTGTAGTTTCTTTTATGAAGGATGAAGAATATGTGGTCCGTTCTTGGATCTATCACCATTCCTGTTGGGTAGCCATCTATTGTCGCAATAAGCTGTCGTTTGTAATATTCGTTTCCAATTTTGATTCGTTCGCATTTTTCTGTATTGTATCCAGCGATGAAAATGGCAAAGATTGACAGGATTTTCGTCAGGCTCCTCATTGTGAACGCAGGTTCATGACAACCGTTTGTGGTATCTGTGAAAAAAGAGAATATTGAAATACGGTAGGTAGAAAATGGTCTGGTATTGAAACACTAAGGGCCAAATAGATGCCTGTGGAGATGGTACTAGCAAATTAACAAGAATATTCTTTTAACTAATACTGGATCAAATTATACAATCATTGTTATGATTACCGAAGAAGACATATTAAAAGATGACAATATCGATGAAAACAAAGCATACAACCATAATATTTACTGAACAGATGTGAGTACATTGAATCACATAGTTATATGAATATAACAGCTACAATGTAAGGCAGGATGAATTATTGTTTTGAAAGATGATGGAATAAATGTTGATATATGATATAAACGGCCATTGTGTACCGACAATGTCATAATGACCGACTTATAAAAAAGTTCAGTGTTGCCTTAATGTTCAGTACAATGGTATTTGTTTAATTAGATTCTCATAACTATTTGACCTACTATGATTCTAATAGGTAGTCAAAATATTTTGGCTCATAACTTCCTTTAGGGTAAAAAGGTTTTCGTTGACTTTAGTAAGGCCTCCGATACTTATGTAAACGATATAGATTGCTTGATAATAATTTGATACTTGATAATGCAAATTATATTTTTACCGACTTCAAAAAAAGGAGTAGGTACTATGTTCGGCTGATTGTTTTTTTTTTTGTTTGTTCGCGCAGTACTCCGCCGTTTGTGAACCGATTTCCAAAATTCTTATTTTGTTTGAAAGGGTATACTCCCGAGATGGTCCCATTTCCATGAGGTCAGGATCTGATCATGGGATCCTAGGGAAACTGAGGGGAACTTTCGAAAATTGTATGGGCGAGTAATGCGTCTATTATGTTTTTCAATTACGATTTTTAAACACTACAATTTGATAAGGGTCTGGAGTCGACCTGATGATGGAGCTGACAGACAGTCGAGGGAACTCCTCAGCGGTGTATATTAACTACCTTGTGTTTGGGCTTGATTAATTTGTATTGATGAGGACTTTACACCTAGATAGAGTGGGGCTGTCATTACGGGTCTGATGATGAAGAAGTGTAATTGTTAAGGGAACTCCTCAACGGTATACAGTAACTACCTTGTGTTTGGGCTTGATTAATTTGTATTGATGAGGACTTTACACCTAGATACAGTGGGGCTGTGATTAAGGGTCTGATGATGAAGAAGTGTAATTCTTAAGGGAACTCCTCAACGGTATACTGTAACTATCTTGTGTTTGGGCTTGTATAATTTGTATTGATTAGAACTTTGCACCTATGTAGATTATAAGTTACTAAACGGGTATATATAGCTTTACACTGAAAATGATAAATTAATAAAATAAAAACTGCGTTTAAAAAACCGACTTCAAAAAACAAAAACTAATAACAAACAAAAAGTCAAAACTAAAAAGCAAAAAATAACTATTATTAGTACTGATAATATTATTAGTACATATCATAATGACATAACTTAATGTCCACAAAATTGTGAATTAGGTAGATACCTATTAAGGTTTTAATGAATAATTTTGTATGGAACTTATGGCACCGACTTCTTACCTATCAGTGGGTGGGTAACCTATCAGTACTAATAATAGTTATTTTTTGCTTTTTAGTTTTGACTTTTTGTTGTTTTTTAATAATGCAATTGGAGTACTGCAGGATACTATTCTGAGCCCAAAAAATTAAATTGAACTACAAATGTTATTTATATTTTTCAATGTTAAATAACTAAACTAATTAATTATTTTGTTAGAGAGAGTAGAGTTTATTTTCTACAGTGTTAGAAGTTTAGAACCGATAAAAGAAAGAATGAAGAGAATTATTTTAGTGACCAGTTCAAGAGGATTAGTATTAATGGTCATAGTAAAATACTAATTAATGATCTAATAATGCCTTCTTATAACCTTCAATGTTTAATTTAAGTTAAAGTCAAAATCATTTATTTCAATTAGACCAGAAAGGCACTTTTGCATGTCAACAAAAAATTAAAAGTGAAGCTATTTGCTCATTCCAAGGTTTTGCATTTCCATATTTTTATGGAGAAGAACGAGCAAGAAACTCCATAGGGTAAGTACTCTTTTTCAATCAGGTTCAAAATACAATTCTTTAGTTACATAGTTTTGTGTTTGGATTGTGCGAGAAAAATATCACCAAAATTACGATGGATTTGTATTTGGTGAAAAGATTTTAAATTTAGCCAAATACATCTCAATGCGAACCGTGAAGAATTTCAAAAAACGGAATAAGATTAAGATAGTAACTCTAAAGGAAATATTATTCTAGATGTAAATGGACACCCACCTGAGAAGAGTTTCCACAAGCTTTGATCCACAAGCAGATGTACTTGATAAATATAAAACAGCACATGAAGAAAAATATAGCAAGAATTTGGAAGATGCAGAATTAACTACTCGAAATGCTTCCCAAAGTGCAGTATATAGAAATTGAACGAACCTGTCCGACCACCGGCGCTGCCCGTTTGTTATGAAATGATTTTAGCATCATCACGCTCGAAGACTTTATAAAACATCTGCCATTGTGTCACGTATCCACGATGCTTGTAAACATGCTGGGTGTTGATATTCACACCAAGAAATATAGGGTGCTTTAACTATTCATATTATATGAACATTGTTTAAAGTGACGTGAAACACCGCTTGGGTTTTGCTGTTTAAGCCTTATACTGCCGACAAAAACTGTTAAAGGCTAATCCTCCGCTAGCGTCGGACAACATTGTCCGACACGGCAGCCAATGCGTTAAGTGAGGTTACTATAGCTCCGATGGCGATTGGGTTTTTTTATGGCATAAGCCGGTAAACGAGCTGACGGATCACCTGATGGAAAGCAATCGGCGTCGCCCATGGACGCCTGGAACACCAGAGGCGTTACAAGTGCGTTACCGGCCATTTGGGGATTACGAGTTTGAGGATCGTTGGGGATTCAGGGATTGGGGAGATTGGGGAAGGGGAAGGATTAATTGGGCCTCCGGTAACCTTACTCAGACGACGAAATCACAACGCAAGCGTTGCTTCACATCGATTTTCTGTGAGGCCGTGGTATCACTCCGGTCGAGCCGGCCCATTCGTGCCGAAGCATGGCTCTCCCACACTTCGGTAACCCTGATATTCCCAACCTCCAAATCCCCAAAAGGCCAGTAACGCGTTTGCTTCTGCTTTAGTGTTGTAGTGCGTGTGTCCCTTCGTGCCACCGGTTGCTTCCCATCAGATGATGCGTCTACCCGTTTGCCGTCTTTTCTCAAAGCTATCAAGAAGAATTTCAGTTTCAACCTTCGAATCAGACATAGTATTTATGAAATTTTCAGTCTTACTGACATCTGATCTTACTGAAACATCTGCCAACGCTGAAGTTTGTGATTCTATCTTAAACAGTTAATAATCGATTGATCTAAATGTGCATCGTACTGATTGGGGTAGTATTGTTAGCCAATTTCTGTTAAAGATCACGTCTAAAACCAATTTCTAGAGAGTAACTGTTAACATTAAGCTGTTCCTACTTTTTCATAAGACTCACCTTAGAAAAGCTGATCATAATACTATATTATGTTCTAGCAAAAGCGCCTAAAGAATTTGAAATTGTAGTCAGTCATTGTACTATGGCATAGAATAAAATATACCTACTGGCAAGTACCTTATTCCCTCTTACACAGGGACTCATAACATAACCAACAATAGATAGATACTACACAATGTGCAATATGTCGAGTACTATTACGCCTCTTATAATTTGACCTACATTCCAAACTACAAGACATCGAAACCCAAACACCCTCTATACACTAATAAGTCTTTATGTCTAATAATGATGTAATTTGTGTATCATCCAAAAGGGATCACATCATTCATTCAAAAAAATAAACCTCCTATAGTCTAGAAACTTAGGCATTAGTTGCAAGCCCTTTGTCAGTACTGGAAGGTATAGAAAAGTTTCAAAAACAAGGTACGTACTATTATTCTATAATAATTATTTTGTAGCATCTCCTTTAACTAGCCTCTTACTAAATGGTACTCCTAACATTATGGATATCTTATCTATAAACAACTAAAGAATTGCGATCAAATCGGAGACTTCTCGCTTAGTAGTCGTGCCAGTTTTAAAAGGCCTTAATAACATAACTGATCAAAGTGTTGATATAGATAGTTAAATGAAACATCATAAAAATTCAACAACATTTACTTAATAAAAAATTTATTACTCATTTACAACCGCTAGCACTGTACTTATAGATGACTCCGCTGGCTGCGACATAGACATCATCATAGTCAAATGCCAATCCAGAAGGCACATAGTCCAGGTCCATGAACTTAGAAGGAATAACATTATCAGGCTTGACCCAATAAAGGCCATCGTTAGTAGCTAATACAACCCTGTTATAAGAATCCACGGCTATTGCTCTAGCAGAATTCTTAGCTATTCCCACAAATTCTATCGGTTCTTGAAAACCTTTAAGAATAACTTTTACATACTTAGAATCACATTCGTAATAAATATTATCTTGAGCATCAACTGCTAGAATGAAAGCGCAGGGAACATTATCAACTTTCTTCTTCTCATTCTTTTTAATATCAATTACGTATACTTCATTTTCTGGGAAGAACACTGCGTATAGTTTATCATCGCTTGGTGGTTTGAAGAGTTGAACTATATCATCGTCTTTAAGACTTTGAAATTGAGCTTTATTGTTTTCATCTAAGTAATAAAGTCCATCGTCACTAGCTATATAAGTCTTCTTATTCTTTACATCTACTGCAGCTGCTTGTCCGTTTACATTATCAATTTTGATTGGCTGGCCTTTACTGAATACATACTGGTCCATTTTAGTTTGAACTCTGTCATTCTGTAGACTGTCTAGATCTATTAATGTGAAGTGAAGATCATCATTAACTGGATTAATCACTAGATTCGTTGGTAATCCTTTTATCGTTAAAACTGCTGTTCTATCGTATGGCGATCCATTGTATATATATGAACAGTTTTCAGAGTAAACTGTTCCAATTATTGTCAGGAATAGCAGAAGCAGCATTTTGATCTGTAATGAGAAAACATTAAGGTTTAGTTTCCAGTCGTTTGTAATGTAATTCGATTTGTAAGCGTGTTTATTGATTTTTAAGTAATTCACACTCTGTGTATTTACTTGTACATTTCTGATACGTAAATAGTTTAGAGTCTGATGTGAAATAATGTCTTTGTAAGCGCACCTAAGAGACAGGACAAAATCCTAGTGTGGGTCAATGTTTTTTGTTTTGTAGCAAAGGGTTAATTGTGTTATTCTTTGACTGTATTCTCATATTAATTAAAACACATCGTTTTTTATTTATTTCTTCCGTCGTTTTGTTTTCAATGTACATGACTTGATTAAATTATGGTACCTACATAAGGCAAACTTACATCTGCAATTCATTCTTTAAGAAAAACAAAACATTCACAATCAAAAAAGAAATTTCCAGATATCTCGTATTTGGAACGCAGTTAAAATATCAGTTAAAAGTAACCTCTACTAAGTGTGAGTAACCCCTAGTTATCTGAGCTCATATGTACAGGGTCAGATGCTGTTGTTTATAGACACAAATATAATGAGATAAAATTATAACTAGGGCCTAAATCGCTACTACAGTCATATGTACCTCATCATCATTATCATCAACAGTCGTGAGAGTTTGCTGATGGACTATACACCTTCTATGAAAGAGGGGTTTTCCATTATCACACACAGTTTAAATGTACTATGTTTATTAGAGAATACTGCTGCATGGTCTCCGTTTAATATGTGATTCCTCACTGCTGATTCGAATAGCCAATCTCAGTCCATTATCATCAACAGCCCATAAGTCTTTGCAAAACCTCTTCTCAAACGGAAATGGGTTGAGCATTAACCACCACGCTTGTTCATTGCGGGTTGGCGATATCAAACTTTTAGTTAGAAATTATAAGCCAAGGTTTCTTCACGATATTTTCCTTCACCGTTTGTAAGTGGCGTCTAAATAATCTTAGAAAGTACGTATGACTCGGAAAGTCACATTGGTACTTGTCGTTGGTAGGTTTTGAACTGCACCCTCATGCATGAGAACCTGCTTAAACCTCCGGGCCACCACTACACATGTATCTCAGTCGAAAACCTTTAGATTAAGATCAACTTTCGATATTATTCCTACAGAGGTTCTGTGAGAAATCAAGAATGATCCAGAGATTTTGGATTCAAATCGGCAGTTAGTCTAGTCAGACTATAGCCGTAGGAAGTCTAGGGAATAGCGACTCCTGCTTTTCAATAGTCTTGATTAGTCTCAATCTTGTCACACACACATTCATCCCATCTTCTCAGATTTCACTTTAATATAATATATTACAATGCATGCAGATTCTTTTAGTAAACAAGTGGTAAAGAATCTATTTGATAGCCGCGATACAGGCTATGCCTAGTGCGGTTCTCACAACTCAAATTGTAATAATTGTTACGGGTTTATAAACAATTAATTATTTCTTACTCTTGTTTTCGGAACAAAATGGTTATTAAGGAATAGTTAAAGTAATCATAAATGTCTCAGTGTATATTTTGGTCACAGCGCACTAGACTTCACGACTACTGCCAATCTGGCTGAAGAGGGTTATCATCAGGGATTCTACATTAATCACTGATATATATATTATATCACACCATACTATTATTAACACTAATCATCTTTTTATGATCTATTAAACTATCTAAGCATAAAACATCTACCGAGGATCATTAATCAGCGGAGAATCTTGACACCGCGATTCAGAAAATAGACTAAAACTAACAACACCATCTAGTTTCAAAATTGGAACTAATTTAGTACGGTGAACGATTGAACTCTGAGTATTGCAGTTATCCTTGTTTCTTTTAATCTGAATAGTTAACTAGCTACTTCCCTTTCTGCTCGGCACCTATTGATTTTAGATCGATGTTTCATAGCTCATAGCTTTCCTCGATAAATAGACTATTCAAGACGCAAATAATTTTTCAAATCAGACCAGTAGTTAATAAGTTAAGCGAGCCTATTGGTTGATCTATCTTTACAAACATGTCGCGGAGAACCTAACGAGTTACCGGGGCTCCGGCTCGACGTGCGGGAGAGAAACGGGGTGGTTTTTAGTTAGTAAGAGTCTGACACTCCCTCCCGCCTCAACCTCAACTGCTCCCGCCTGGATATTTATAAAGATATATACGCCGCATGTTATTTTTTTAAGGGCCCCCCCTTAAAAAAATAAATCTTTACAAACATTCAAGATTTTTGCTACAAGATTATGATAATGAAATGATTTAAATATAGTTTTTCGTCAGTTCAATTTAGAGACTAGGACGATTATTCGTTTTTGAATAGATAATAGGGTCATTGACCCGTATCCAATATTAGAACTTTATAACGGGATTGTTTATCATTTGTATAATAAAATTTGTTATACTACAAAACGATGTTCGTTATTGGTCAAAGTTCCATTAAAGAAACTTTTTATAGGATAGGAGAGGCAAACGAGCAGACAGATTACCTGATGGTAAGCGATCAGCATCCGCCATGGAGTCCCACAACACTGGAGTAGATACAAGATTCTCTCCGGTATTTTAACTTTAGTTGAATAGTTGCAAGTAGGTATTATAGGTAACAAAAGATATTTTGAAAATACAATGAATAACTTATTTTGAAATTCTAAGTCAGCTCTGAAGTTTAGTTAGATCTAGCCTTGGTTACCATTATAGGTACCTAACAACCTTGCTCCCTAGTACAATGTACAGATAACAGAATATAACTAATAACAATAACGTAACAAATGCTAATCATCATCATCATCATCAACAGCCTATAAATGCCCACTGCTGAGCAAAGCCTCTTCTCACACGGAGAAGGTTTGAGCATTAATCACCACGCTTGCTCAATGCGGGTTGGCGATTTCAAACTTATAATTAGAAATTATAAGTCTAGGTTTCCTCACGATGTTTTCCTTCACCGTTTGTCAGTGGTGTCTAAATAATCTTAGAAAGTACATATGACTCGGAAAATGTCACATTGGTACTTGCCGTTGGTAGGTTTCGAACCAGCACCCTCATGTATGAGAAGTGCGTCATAAACCTCCGGGCCACCACGACGTTAACAAATGCTAAACGAGCTAAAAAAATAAGGATAAACCCTCATTTGTTATTGAAAAGATAAAAAATACTTATATTCACTCACCTAATATATAAATATAATTTGAATTAAACTCACAACTGACTACTAAGAACTCATATACACAACTGTTCGTATAAACATAGATATAATAATATTATATCGACTATACACAATAATTATAATAAAATAGTACTAATCGTATGTCTGTATATATATATATTTCGAAAAAGTACAAAATTAGTGTGTTATAGAAATAGTAATAGAGTACCTATAAAAAATCTGTTTGTTTGCTCACGCTGATTTCCGGAACTAATAAACTGATTATATAGAAACTAGCTTTTACCCGCGGCTTCGCTCGCGACACAAAAAGGATAAAAGTAGCCTATGTGACAAATAACGATATAGACAGCGCCATCTATACCAATACTTTTGTTTTCCCTCGGGAATATTATATTTTTCCGGGATAAAAAGTACCCTATTATTTAATCCAGACTTCTAACTTTACGTCTGCAAAAATTCTAAGCAATCGGTTTAGTAGTTATGGCGTGAAAGCGGAACAAACAAACAAACTCACTTTCCGATTTATAATATTAGTAAGGATTACTTTCATTGTTTACCTAATACGTCTGGCTTGTGAAACCTAAAGAGCATCCTAGAGAAGCCTATCATAAGCGCCCTTAATTTTTTTGGCCCCTTATCACTTTATGGTTACTTAGACACGTGGGTCTCGCGGCGCCCATCTGGTACCTGGTGCCCTAGACACTTGCCTATTTTGCCTAATACCTCTATATAGGATACTAGCGGACCCAACAGACGTTGTCCTGCATATCCACTTGAATGTATAAACAAAAATTCATTCAAATTAGTTCAGCTGTTTAGGATAAATAACCTAACCACGACTGCAGCGCCATCTGCCGGGCTGATTTGTGAATCTAAACCATTCCCAGATCCCTTTGAACACACGCAAACAATTTCATCAAAATCGGTCCAGTCGTTTGAAAGAAGTTCAGTGGCATAGACACTCACAGAAGAATTATATATATAAAGATATATTTTTGTAATGGAATAAAAAAGTCAATATTTTACGCGGACGAAGTTGCGGGCAGAAGCTAGTATGTATATGTATAATATGTTTACATCAAAACCATGTTATATGTATGTTACACTGGGTTGAATGTACTTCTATCGAAATGGGACAGCGGGAGTTATATGAATAGTTGAAAATAATTATAATGAGGAATAAGACTTCCGTATTTGATTATAGTAGATGTTGTCCATGTTCTTGCACAATTAGTAGGCAGTCAAGTAGAGTGGGTGTTTGATTCCCGGGTCGAGCGCTAGTAGTTAGATTTTTGTTATTAAGATCAGAAAAAAGAGGAGGAATCACAAGACTGCCTCGTTGGCCGAGTGGTCGCAAGTGCTACTGCCGGGCAAGGGGTCTCGGGTTCGATTCCTGGGTCGAATCAAAAAGAGCTCTATTTTCTTCTTCATCTCCGATCCGTTTACAAAATATAATTTTACATAATATTCACATCACAACCAGATTCGGAACAGTAATTTATGGGCTCACATAAAAAATATTCTGTTCGGGCATCGAACCCGTGATACGTTGCAAAGCAGCCGGTTGTTCGTTGTGCTGTTAAATGGTCAAGGAATTAAATTATAAGGAATAGGGTAGATGCCTAATTTTTATTTTAATGTCCATCTTGTAGAATATTTTAAATCATTAGACACCTATTTTTTATCTTCTTACAGAAACTAATACTTTCGATGATATATTGATTTGAAATGTAGCGTGACGTCACTTCTATGTACATTTTATTCGTAGAAATACGTTTTAGCCCCCACTCCTAAACTTTGATTCGTTTTATCTAAGTATTGTTTTATTATACGACAAAATAAAAAAATATGTGTCTAAGATTTTTCATTACCTAACTTACGGAATAATTAGATTTTTAATTTTCATACCCCGTCATAATCCCAATTAAAATAATGAATATACAATATAAATGGTTCTTTGCCCTTTTTTCTGCCATCATGTGGATATTAATATGATACAGTATCATATTATGTAACGTTATCTCTATATTTACATATTCGACACAATTTAATATTTCTCGGAATTCTCCAGCAAAAATAATAACATTACATAGTATCACGCCTATTATTACGTGCATTTGGTAGGCAGGATAATAATATTTTTTATTCTTAACATAACATCACGCCTTTCGTCCCCGAAGGGGTAGGCAGAGGTGCACATTATGGCACTTAACGCCACTATACAATGTAACACCCACTTTTCACTATTTATTTATGTTACGAGTCCCATGTAATAGAGGGTGAGCCTATTGCCATATACCGGACACAATTCCAGACTTCGTGCTACTGCTGGTAATACTTTGCCCGACCCAGGAATCGAAACCAAGACCCCTTGCCTAGTAGTCGCACTTGCGACCACCCGGCAGTCCTACTAAGAATTTTAAAACTGAAATTACAGTTATACTTTGTTCGACCCGGGAATCAAACCTAAATTAGTCGATTAGCAATCGCAATTGCAACGAAGTACTTAAACAACGGCCTTATTAAAGAAATACAATATAAAACGAAATATACCTTGTTTTATAATAAATTTTCACTTAAAAATGTAATTATAATAAAAACTCACTCTCACTTTAATAAAAATATGAACTCAATTCACGTTTGCACTTCTAATTATAAAATAAAGTATAAGTAATTACTCAAATTTTATACTCAATTTATAAGCAATTGCTCAAACTCTATATTTAAATGTTATATACAATACAGTAAATTTTAAAATATAAATTTTGCTTGTTTGTCAGTTTGTTGTGTTTTAGTAAATGTTTATTTTTCTGGTGTTTACTGCTATATATCTAGTTACGGAAGGAAGTGCCGGGTGTGTTTACATTGTATAACATATTTTGAATATTGACGAATTCCTTATTTTTGACGTGACTTACAACTGCTATGTATGAAGTCGGTTGGCCTTCTGCTATATGGGATTCATAAATAACTGTGAAGGTGTTAACTACTGAATTATGGTATTTTTTTTTTTTTTTTTTTTGGGGGAAAATCATCGAATGACTGCTCCCGCCTGGGTGAGGCGGAGGGGAGTGTCAGACTCTTACTAGTCTTACTGACTAAAAACCACCCCGTTCCTTCTCCTGCACGTCGAGCCGGAGCCCCGGTTACCCGTTAGGTTCTCCGCGACTCCGAATCGGCATCGGCCCTATTGGGCCCCATCTGTGGTGGTCTGATGGCTCTTTGAGGCGCGCGCGGAACGCGATGCGCCGTACGCTCGGGTCTGTTTCTGGTCGGACGGGGAGCCACCCATGCTCGCCGTCCGCAGGCCCGCGCTTACGGTGGCCGGAGATCGTCCCGCGATCCCCGACGCCCGGTGTGTCCTTCGCGATGGCCGGGTTGCGAGGAGGCAGCGCTTCGCTGCCTCACGCGTCCCGCCTCCTCCTTAGCTAGCATGACTGCTTCGCAAAAGGAGGAGACGGCATCCCAGTCCCCCTCGCTCCGCATCATGGCCTGCACTAGGCCCGGACGCGAGAGGTCGCCATCGCCGATCACTTCCCTGAGGGCACGGCGGTGCTCAGCCCACGCAGGGCATTCTCCCACAGTGTGTTCCACCGTGTCCTCAGGGCGGTCCTCGCAGTGATGACACCCGGGCGTTTCCTCCCGCCCCATCAGACACAGGTACCTCCCGAAACTTCCATGTCCGGTGAGGACCTGCGTCAGGCGGTAGGTGAGGACGCCGTAGCGTCTCTCAAGCCACTCCTCAAAGAGGGGACTTACCGCTGCAATGGCAGCGAGCCCAAACGGATGCTATAAAAATCCGTCTATCATCATTTGTAGGTTGCATGCATTCGTCAACGGACGCGTCGTGGACAATAACCCTAAGCAAATATGTCGTCGTGTTACTAATTCACGCTTAAAAAAAGATAAAACACAAGAAGATCGAGATAGTCAATAACTTTTTGACTTCAATGAAACCATGCTATCATTTCAAGGCACCCATTATCTCGTGCTCATCAATAAAATTTGCACACAAACCACCCAATTTTTATTCTTTTGCTGCCTCATAGCAATCTGTCCAGAGACAATAAGCCATGCCTCTGTTTTGGTCTGCGACTTATTATGGGCGTAGAGAGCTCCTACTGGATTGTTAATTCCATCTGCTCTCTCTTTCAAGTTAAGAATCATAGGTAAGCTCGGAATGTCTTTTCGCTTCAGTCGTACGTGGCGCATTCTGCCCTTATCATTCAAACAACCCAATTAATAACAAATTAAACAACGTCAAAAACGAACTATAAAAAAATCTACACAATAAAAAAAATCACGTACGATCACACACAATGTACACGCACACAATTTCTTTCACGCGTCGTCAGACAATTGCGTGCTAGTATTGTATAACTTGTAACATGCGAGCCATAACGGGTGTGTTTACATGTATGCCAGGGTCGGTTAAGGTCTTTGAATACCAGAGGAAACCCTGGAGCTTGGAGTATGTCTGGAATTCCGGCCAAAGTCAATTTTGGTTTGTCGGTCAATGACTTTGTTCAATGCTTTGTTGGTTATGAAAGCTATGCTCGGAGTCTCTCTGAAGGATCGAATTGGAAGCTAAGTGATCCGACGGAGTACCAAAGCTATCTAGAGCCCATAACATTAGTAAGCTGAAGTGGCCCACTGCCGATCATATGTCAAAGAACCGATAACCGTTGGGATAGACGTGTTTTAGAGAGGACACCGTGTCTAGGGAAACGTAGTGTAGGTTTGCCTTTCAGCTAGGTAGAGTGATGATATCCGCAACAGGCTTGTTGTGGTAGAATTGATGTTCTAAACCGTGCCAGGTAGATTTTACGGAATTAAAGATTTGATTGTGCCAACAAATTAAGAAAGAGAGCTCCTCGATAATTATGGCGCACTTGAACTACTTCACACATAGCCAGTGATAAACTGGTGTTGCTACAAATTGTCCTACAAATATTTAGACTACAACCCTGCTTACCTATTTAGTACCTATAAAATATAATGTTCCATTTTGCTCTTTACAGATCAACCATGCAGTCAATATATCTGACGTCAATATTTATAACACTATGTGCTACAACGAAGTATGTGAAGCAAACGCAAAAGAACCTGACCACGATGTTCCGAGACGAACAGATAATTTTCTCATCAAACTTCAATATTACTAAACTCCTAGTCCCTGCTGACGGCCAGAAATATCTTCAAGCAGAATCTTCAGACATCCCATCAATCTTCTTTACCGTCACAGACCCAAAATCAGAAGGAGGAAGCTGTATCTACGTTCTAGAAGGCTTCGCAGCTTACGAAATCCTAGACGGAGGTAGAGATTCCACAGCAGACTACAGTTTTGAGAAGACCATATATTTCGGTGCTAAAGACGGCCTATACAAATATCATCCAGACACTTTATCAGCAAAAAAGTTTGGCCCGTTTAGAGATGATATTATTCAGCTACAGAAAGCTAATGGAAGTGATACCATTTATATACTTAACAGTGAAAATAAAATTTATAAAATAGAAAAGAATGGGACGGTTAAAACGAGGATGCAATCCATTGGCTGTGCTATAGAATTTGTTCTAGATACTTCTAATAATATCTATTACGTGTCCTGTGGGGATAGAATGCCTCATATAATCAAAAATGATGGCAATGTCCTCAGTCTCACAGCTAGCGTTATTGAAGATTTCAAGGAGATAAAACTGCTAAGACCTGCTTTCATAATGGAGAATTGCATTCCATTCTTTGGTGACGGAAACTTGTACATCTTATATTCAAATGGTACTTATGAGAAAAAAGATTTAACGATTAAAGAAAAGCCTTCAGCGTTTAGTGTGGATGCGGCCTTATATCTAGTAGCAGCTGTGAATGGAAAAATTTATGAATTTAATGTAATGGAAGTTTTAATCAGATCAATGTTTGGTGTCGCTACGGAATGGCCGAAGGATGTAACCAAGATCATCATGTCGATCATAGATACAGCGAAAGACAGTATATTTGGATTTTCTAAAGACGGATAGAATTTGTGCTTATTTCGTGAAACCAGTGACTAGAGACTACTAATTGACTGTTTTTATTATCGTGATAGTTCTGACAATATTTTGACATTTCTTTGTAGCAAAGTTAATGTACTTTATGTTGTTTTTCATTGCCTTTCCAATCGGGAAGATGACTAATTTTGTGATATTAATTGACGCATAGATTTGTGAAACGTATTGGATTCGTATTCTTTTCTATGGAATGTAAATGGTTGAGTTATTGAGCTGTACCTTCTTCATGGTGGTGTATAATGTGGGGCACATCTACCTGACCATCATCAAGTTAATGTTTGCTTCCACCTCATAAAATCTACTCTCTAGCCGCGCCCCATGACCTTGAATTGACGAATGAAGCAGGGTGGTGGGAGGGGCTAGCGCCAGCGCGGATTGCCGAACAACATCAAATGCATCACTGACCAAAAGATTACACGGGTTGCGTCACTAAACTGCGACGTTATATAACTTTTCTAATAGTTAAGACATTTATGGGTAAGGCTTGATGATTTTACTGGGCTCAAGCAATAAAATTTTAAAATGATCAACCGGATCTGTCCCCCGATGTACATTACGACTTATATTAAACATTAGTATCATCACTATCATCAACAGCTCCTGGCGGTCCACTGCTGAACTATGGACCTCTTTTACATAAGAGGTTTGGTTTACCATAATGTCATCAGTTGGAGATTGAAGTCTACCTAAAAGGTTCAGGTTTATCAGAGAGCGCTGCTGCCCGATCTCTGTCAAATGCGTAGTTCCCTTAGCAAGCAAATGAATATTTTAAGAAATAATGGATAAAAAATATACCTACTTGGAAGCAAAGAAAAGCAGCCGTTCGCGATTTTTTTATTTTATCGAATCCTCTATAGCAACTTAAAAAAACATAATACTTTCACAACAAACTGCTCTCATTTTAAAGGTAACTAAGTAGTGTAGACGCCTAATTTGTATTTTAATGTCCGTCTGGTAGATTATATTAAATCATTAGACACGTATTTTTTATTTTCTTACAGAAACGAATACTTTCGACGAAATATTGATTTGAAATGACGTTTGAACCTCCACTCCTAAACATTGATTCGTTTTATCTAAGTACCTATTGTTTTATTATACGACAAAATAAAAAATACGTGTCTAATATTTTTTCATTACCTAACTTACGGACTAATTAGATTTTTAATTTTCATACCCTGTGATTATCCCAATTGCCTTACGTACGCATACGTATGTACGTACGTACGTATTATTGCATACGTTACCTATTTATGAAGTAGGTACTTGTATCCAGAGAATATTTATCAAGATATGAATGAGAAAAAAACGTAAGTGGCTCCGTTTCGTTGCTCCCAAGTGTATATTTTAGTTAATAGTACTTTAGAAGTAAAAGTAGACTGCCTCGTTGGCTGAGCGGTCGCAAGTGCGACTGCCGAGCAAGAGGTCTCGGGTTCGATTTTTTTAGAAATTCTCAGGAGTAGCAGCGGAGTCTGGGAATGTGTCCGGTATATAGCAATAGGCTCACCCCCTATTACATGGGACTTATAACATAAATAGTGAAAAGTGGGTGGTACATTGTACAGCGGTTAAGTGCTGTAATGTGCACCTCTGCTACTCCTTCGGGGATAAAAGGTGTGATGTTATGTTAGTAACAAAAATATAGCCAGTTATTTTGTTCAATATCTTTATCATTTTCATTCTTTTGGTCGGTTTTAAGGTGAGATTCGGTTTTTACATACTTATAATTACTAATTCGATTGAACATGATGCAAAAATTGTTTTTAAATAATATAAATAATATCAATCTCGTCTATTTATACCTATAAGTGTATATTTTGTATAAAATATGAGAGTGCAATTTTTACATAGATTTATTTTTATAAGTGCTAATTACGTAAGATTATTTTTATAAGTGGCTTAGGAATAATTTCTGAGCATAATAAATAAAATACTCGTTGCCATTTTGTTTTATTTTGTAGTGAATAATAGTTATTTTTAATCAATTACAGTTTTGTGTTCCAGTTTATTTGTTTTTTTCTATGGAGTAGTAGGCAAACAATTACTGCACGGTTGGTGCGGTGGCTGGGCCACTGGCTGCCGCGCAATGTGTCGCGGGTTCGATTTCCACACGGAACAACACTTTGTATGATCCACAAATTGTTGTTTCGGGTCTGGGTGTCATGTGTATGTGATCTTGTATGTTTGTAAATACACCCACGACACAGGAAATAACCCTAGTGTGGGGCAAAGTTTTTATTTAAAAATAAATTGGTGGATCACCTAATGGTAAGCGATCAGCGCCGCCCGCAACACCAGAGGAGTCACAGGTGCGTTGCCGACCTTTTGAAAAGGAGTACGCTCTTTTCTTGAAGGTTTGAAGGTCGTATCGGTTCTGAAATACCGCCGACGACAGGATCATTACATAGTTTTGCTGTGTGACGCACAATTGTGGCATGCCAAGCATGTATATGATGGGGACAGATATGCTGCCGTGAGATTCGATGGCAAAAAGACGCGGCAGGTATCAGACTAAACAACTCCTCAGAGCACTCCTCGTGGTATAAGCGATAGAAAATGGCATTGTTTATTTTTTTTTAAACATTGCAGGATTTCCTCCTGTGTCGTGGGTGCGTTAACAAACATACAAGTTCACATACACATAACACCCGGAACAACAATTAGTGGATCACACAAACAGATGTTCCGTGCGGGAATCGTACCCGCGATGGCTGGCCACCGCGCCAACAGTGCAGTCAAGTCACCATTAGAAAGGCCATCTGTATAAAAAATATCATTATTAAATAATTTAGCAGACATTTTTCCTAGTAGTTTTATAAGATCAAACATCGTGCTTCAACTCAAGAGATACACTATGGCAAATAAAACAAAAAGTCTTATTCATAACGTTATATTTTACAACAGTAGGTTTTTCGTTATTTCTTTCATACCGTCAACGTCCTGTTAGACATTAGTTCTTCAAGATGATTGTTAACTGAACAAATTAAGCGCGCAAATCGCTCCTAGACCTCGTCGCAATGGATTGAATGGCATCAGTCTTGTCATCCAAGAACTTCTTCAATTCTTCCAGCACCTCGCCGAGGATGATAGCCAAAACATTGTATTCATAGACCTTCTTGTTGTAAGCGTAGTATTGGATGAGGGTAGCCTCCATGGAGTAGGCGGTAGGCTTGACCTGGAACTCGAAGTCACCAGCCTCACTAGTACCGTTCTCATAAATAAGGTAAGATTTGTTGTCGACGATGACGGGCGCACCATTCTCAAAGACGAACGCTGGGTTCAGGATCTCAACGTACGATGCGTGCTCTGGGAGACCTCCGATCTTCTTGACTTCACCGTTCACGTAAACATAGACAGACTTGTCGCTGGTATAGTAAAAGAGGTTGTTCTGGTAATCCAAGATGATCTGCTGAGCATCCACAATTGGGTCAACCTTCACTTTTTTGTTTCCATTCTCTGTAACCTTGTATACAAAATGGTCAGCTGACAGAACGTAGATAGCATCACTGCCGTTGACCTTAGCGATGCCGATTAAGTCGTCAGATACTGAACCGTATTTATCAGCTGATTTCTTTTCAGCATTGTAAACGTAGATGCCGTCTGAGGCTGCAAAGTAAACCAGTTTGGTGTCATCGTTGGCAGCAGCTGCGTCTTTACCATTCTCTAGAATTTTAGTTGCTTCTCCACTGGTGAGTAAGTAGAGACCTTTGTAAACCTTTTTTCCCTGGTCATCTTTGTCAGCTAATACTACAAAGGTTGTTGTAGCATCAGAATCGCTGCTTTCATCATCTTCATCATCCTCAAAGTTCAATGCATTCAATGGAGTCAGGATTTTGACGGGATCGTGGTCAAAAGTGTGTACGGCAATTTCATCTGGGAAGAACTCCGGGGTGACCACCACAGTTTCATCTTCTTCACTAGAGACTGGAGCGGAGTATGCTAACCCCACGAGGAGAGAGACCGTGAAGAAGAGAATCAGCTTCATGTTTGGACCTGGAAATATAAAAGAAATGGTATTAAAAACTATGTTAATGAAGAACTGCATTCAAACACTTTCTACAACAGTAGGTATGGCTTCTTTGACTAATTTAAATAAAACTGTAACTTTTAGCAATGGTGCATAGATTTGTTTGTCTGTAGAGTAAATCCTGTATAAGATCAAATCTTTGTGAAAAATTTGGATTCTGGCAAAAATAACAATTTAAAATTGGTTATGATATTGGTATTTTGCAAAGTTCATTAAACTGTCAAACACCAAGCGGTCACCGGCGACCACAACCTATTGTTCTTTAATTGTGTCTATAAATACGGTACTCGACGAGTTAATAATCATGTTTTAAGTCGATGAGATTCAAAAACTGAAGGGGACTTTCTTGCGATTGTATTGTTGCATGGTAAAGATGATAAAAATGATAATAGGAAATATGAAGATATAAAAAATTACAAATTGGGTTTGGAGCATGATTGGCCCTGCGGTGACCTCCTTGATATGGTAAAACGTAACGCAATTCTCACATATACTTTCAATATTGGACAATGTATCAGAGAGATTGTAAAACATATTTTTATAACAGTAACAAATGGAGTTTCTCGCTCGTTCTTCTATGTTGGAATTTGCATTTGGCAACGAGCACCTAGCTTCATTAACAGACAGACTATTATGTATTTTGTAGTTGATGTTTTCAAAGTATCAAATTATGGTCTAATTGAAATGAATGCTTTGACTTTGCGTTTTTTCACGTCGATTTTTTGTTCGGTCGTGGTATCACTCCGGTCGAGTCAGCTATTCGTGTCGAAGCATGACGCTCCCACGTGAAATCACACTACTATTATATATTATAAATGTCAAAGATTCTTTGTTTGTATGTCTGGATGTTTTTCTCCGTCAATCACGCTGAAACTGCTGAGCGGATTTTGATGAAATTTGGTATACAGGCAGGGTATGGGCTGACTTAGATGATATGACTTATTATCCCGATTAAATGCTCCCATGGGATAAAATAATCATATTCTACGCGGACAAAGTCGCAGGCAACGGCTAGTTAGTAATATTTTTACATCTTAGTACTGCTTAGTTATATAACGGCTTCTTTATCTGCCACAATGATAAACTGTACCTCTGCGAAATTATGTTTTTTATATTTTATCATACGGTCTTCTGAACTTGCTGATTGTGATTCGAAATAGGTAACGTCTTGTAGTCTAGAGATAGCATAGCATGAACTTTGACATTTGAAAATAAAATAAAATAGGTGTAATAATATTCACGATTATGGTTATAATTTCATTCGCGTGTAAGATTATATTGGTGTTATGATTAGTTTATTATATACTAGCGATCCGCCCCGGCTTCGCACGGGTGCGATATGCATGTATTATACATATAAACCTTCCTTAAGAATCACTCTATCCGTTAAAAAAAACCGGATCAAAATCCGTTGTGTATTTTTAAAGATTTAAGCAAACATAGAGACAGACAGGCGGATAGCGACTTTGTTTAATACTATGTAGTGATTATGCCTGATTATTGAGCCTTTGGATCTTGTTAGGTTTAGGTGTAACTGGGAATTTCCTAAAGATCTGTATATTTTCTATAGATCATAATTGTATTTCATAGATAGCTGGCTGCCTCGTTGGCCGAGTGAGTGGTCATAAGTGCAACTGCCGGGGAAGGGGTCTAAGGTTCGATTCCCGGGTCGGGCAAAGAATTAAAGGGTTTAAAATAAATGTCAGTAGCAGCAGTCAGATGGAGTCTGGAATTGTGCTCGGTATATGGCAATAGGCTCACCCTTACTATGGGAGATGGGACTCATATAACATAAATAGTGAAAAGTGAGTGTTACATTGTAACTACAGTGGCATTAAGTGCCGTAATGTGCACCTCTGTCTACTCCTCTGAGGTTAAAAGGCTTGTTATGTTATTTAGACAGTCAGTATATAATTATTTTCTATGCAAGTATTGTCTGCTATATTTTTCAAGACAAAAGATTAAATTAAGCATACATAACATGCTGCCACTATCGCGTGATTTGCAAATCTGCAATACAAAACCAAAGTAGTTCGTTGTTTAGTGAAAATCTATATACAGTTAATATGTATTATACAACTGAAGCATTAAGAGTCGTGGTGGCCCAGCGGTTTAGGACACCCGCTTCTCATGCTCTCATGCTAATACGAATTACCAATGTGACTATGAACTTTCTAAGATTATTTAGACATAACTGACAAACATCGTGAGGAAACCTAAGCTAAATATATAATTTCTAATTATAAGTTTGAAATCTCCAACTCACATTAAGCAACCGTGGCGATTATTGCTCAAACATTCTCCGCCTTTGGTTAGTAGTGGGCACTTATAGGCACCATATATTGTTGGTGTTGAAGGATTCGTTTGTATAAAAATCTTATCTTCTATACAAGAGAACAGATTAAGGTTGAAGGAAGAAGGGTTTGCCATAATTGCCACAATTGGCAGGTGCGTTGGAGATTGCAGTATATAAGGATCAGGTTTATCAGAGAGTGCTACAGCCCAGGCTCTGTTAAATATGTCGTCACATAGTTATTACGGCACTTGCAAAAAGGGAAGTGTTGATAAATGTGAATAGGTTGCTTATGGGACGACGTTCTCCATCGTAGACCGCATCATCGCTTACCATCAGGCGAGATAGTGGTCAAACGTCGGCCCATAAAAAATATATATATATGTATATATAAAACTGCCTAAGATTGCCTTGTTGGCCGAGCGGTCGCAAGTGCGACTGCCGGGCAAGGGGTCTCGGGTTCGATTCCCGGGTCGCGCAAAGTATTACTAGGTTTAAAAAAAAATCTCAGTAGTAGCACGGAGTCTGGAAATGTGCCCGGTATATGGCAATAGGCTCACCCCCTATTACATGGAACTCATAACATAAATAGTGAAAAGTGGGTGTTGCTTCTGTGTGCACCTCTGCCTACCCCGTTCGGGGATAAAAAGGCGTGATGTATGTATGATGTATGTATATATAAACATTTATTCTCCTCTACCTACACGATGAATTTAATAATATTTATCTAGCTTCTGCTAACGCTTCTTGCATTCCCATAAGATAAGTAGCCTATGTATTATTCCATAATCAACTCCTATTCCAAATTTACATCTCGATTCCTTCAGTCGTTTTGAGATGAAGAAGTATTGTTTATATATCTGTATTTTTATTTATTTTTTATAATTGTGTGTGTTAATTGTCAAATAAATGTTTTTCTTTCTTTCTTTCTTCTTATTTCAAGTAACAAACGAACATTTGTAACAATGTATAGTAGGATAGTAACAGCGTAAAACCTAGGTGAATTGCTAGTATATATAGGTAAATAACGTATTGACGGAAAGCCGATCAATGACGAATGTATATTGAATGGAGCTAAGAGGAAATTGGCAATAATTGTAACATCCAGTTTGAATGCATCTTGTTGGTTATAAATTGAAAAACGATTGACCAGATCAAGTGTTATCGGTTTTGTTCAGGACATGTTTGGAAAATGTATGATAATTCAGTCAAAAATATATTGTTACAAATACAAATACAAATACAAATATTGTTTATTTCGTCAATGTAGGTATGTTACAATAGATGGTAGATAATATTATGGTAGTGCGCCACATTGTGTCTGTACAGACATACAAAATTTTTATAGTATGTTCTTAATCTAGTGTGTTTACAGACAATAATCTTCTCTGTCTACATTATGGAACATAATACACCTAATTACAAACTAAATTAATATTAACATCAAGTTTTAATAAAACTATTATTTGTGTTGAAAATTTACTCTATCAGCCGTATACTCAATTAAACTATAATAACATTTAAGTAACTAAATAATTACATTAACTTAAGGAAACAATAAAAATCTTCATTGTTAACATTATAAATTTCCTCTGTCATCAGTCATAAATTCGGTTAAATTATAATAACATTTAGTTATTAAAAACTGCCTTAGTTTTTTTTTGAAAAGAGGTAAGTCTAGTGCTTTGATTTCCTTAGGTAATCTATTATATATTTGTGCAGCAACCCTGAAAATACTCTTACTAAAAAGCGCTGTATTACCGTGTACTACTTGAAGGTCACCAGTATCCTTTTGCCTCAGCCTGGAATCGCGTGGGGGCTTTAATTCAAATAGACATCTGTTACATTTAACAAAGGTGGCTACTTCGTAAATAAATAAACATGGAAACGTTAACAGCTTTAAGTCTTGAAAGTGTGGCTTACAACTGTCCCTAGGACGTTTGTAACGTTGTTTCCAATAATAAACTTATTAGACTATGTGTGTCTATGCTCTCATTCATCATCATCATCAACAGCCTATAAATGCCCACTGTTGAGCAAAGCCTCTTCTCACATGGAGAAGGTTTGAGCATTAATCACCACGCTTGCTCAATGCGGGTTGGCGATTTCAAACTTATAATTGGAAATTATAAGTCCAGGTTTCCTCACGATGTTTTCCTTCACCGTTTGTCAGTGGTGTCTAGATAATCTTAGAAAGTACATATAACTGGGAAAAAGTCACATCGGTACTTGCCGTCGGTAGGTTTCGAACCTGCACCCTCATGCATGAGATGCTCTCATTACTGGATTTTATTAAAAACTTGGTTTAAGTATTTTGAAAGAGAAATAAGAACCATTTTTATGCTAAAAATCAAACCATGATTTCATCGACAGAATATATACAGAATTCAGTTGTAATCTAAAGTAGGTAAACAAGTATTGTTGAATACCCATTATTATATACATCATGCCTATGAATACAGTTGCATAGTCAACACAATCTCCCGGAAAAACGTACATATAATCGCGTATATATATTTTTTTTTTATCACGTGTAGATAATAATGTTTAGAATTATTCATGTATAATTGCGAGCAACATATTTATTTAGCATTCAATTCAATATAGGACGGGAATCGAGCAGACAAGTCACCTGATGATAAATATATTCATACCCACAACACCA